TCCTCAGAAAACAACCCTAACAAAGAAGGGACTACCGGAAACGACGACGGCGACGGAAGCGCAAAAGAGAAAGGAGGTAAAGGGAACCAAGAAAAGCTCTCGTACTCGAGAAGTCAGAAGAAAGACAGGGAAGAGGCGCGAGAAGAGAGAAAGGCTAAAACTCTCCCCGAAATTCAAAACCGACGCGACACGTGTCAGTTGAAAGGCACACCCGACGACACACTTATTACCAAACCATCATTAAAAAACCGTCACTGCCCCCAATACGTCAATCAAACGTCTCCAGAGCATGAACAGTCGCGACACGTGGCGAGCCTCCAGCTAGCGTACGCGCAAAGCCACCTCTCCTCTCACGAGCCCGACCTTAACTCCTCGGCCTACGGCCTTCGGAGCTCGGGGGGCTAGTGTACTGACCGCATTTCGCACCCGGGCTCTCAGCCCGGGTTGACATTATAAGGGTCATCCCGGGCACGCGTTGAACAACGTCAGCCCGGAATCCGGACAGACCACGCCCGAGCCCGGAGATCTCGTCCCAGGCCAAAACCGTTCTCCAATTATACCATATTATGTCACAACGTGATCATATCATATTATATGATATCGTATCATATCATATCTTATCTCAGGCCCAAGACAACCCTAATTCACACAAAGGTATGTGCATTATATATACGAGACTCGTACTCATACAAACCCTAACTTTGGCATCGGAGTCTCTTTTGCAGGTACCTCCCCTATCTTGGAGCACCAACACATCATGCAAAGGAGGCTCACTGATCTTACTGGGCAGACCATCCCTACGGCCAAATTCCGGTAAGAACAAATACCAAATTATATGAACCCTGTAGGATCAAAAATTTAGCATCCTAAATCATGAATTTCTTTGGACAATTTATAAGAAAATAAAGAAATTAAAAAAAATATGGATTGAGATAAGAAATGGAAGAGCAACACCACAACCCCTGAAGATTGATAAAAAGAGAAAATTCTCTCAATTGGAAAATATTCAAATTCTGAATAATTTATTCTCTCCTGAAATCTTTACAAAAGGTTCCTATTTATAAGCTTAGATGGACAATAAGACATAAATTTCCACTAAGACTTCACTTACAAATAAATTCCCACTAATACTTAATTTCCACTAGAATTAACTCTCCACTACCCCACTAACTATCATTAGATAGATATAGGAAGCCTAAAAGCATTAAAAACTGACCTAAGTAATATAAAAAGACATCTAAATTATTTAAATATAAAGAAATATGAAAATTACATTAATAATTAACAAAATGGGCTTAAACACCTATTTAGCTCAAAAACTAATTAAACTCTTGCCCATAAATGTTTCTTTTTGAACTTGTCATCATATCTTCAAATTGGGTTCAAGTCTTCACCAAGATTTAGAAAATAACACTAGATGATGTGACACCCTCTACCCCAATATTAATATACATTAAATGTAAACAATTTTTTTTTCTTTTTCTATTTGAGTAAATAAAACCTTTCATAGTTTGATAACATCTTTCATTAATAAAACAATTGTCTCATATCATAAGGTAGAAGATTCACATTCGTAACTCATAAATCATAAAAAAATCAACGTATAAGTATCAAAACTCAAGAAATCATATAAAGGAAAATATAGATTAATTCCAGCAAAGGTGGCAGTGCCTCCTAGTTAGGAATTAAATTATAATTTTCAAATCATGTAATAAAAATAATATGACAAAAATGCATATTTTGATTTTTTTTATCAAGGACATTCACAATTACAAAAGAAAGATTACAAACTTTATTTACGTTATTTCTTTGCTATAAATTACAAAAGAAAATAAACTAAAATTATTAAGACAATAACATATTAGACTAAGCTAGCTAAGCCCCGATGTCACATCCTATCAGAGCATGCCCAACTGAAGCCTTAAGCCTCATCACCAACATCCTCATGATGTTGTTCACCTGCAACATAATTTAAGCTTATACAAAAAAACAACAACAACTGAAGCCTTAAGCCTCATCACCAACATCCTCATGATGTTGTTCACCTGCAACATAGTTTAAGCATATACAAAAAAACAACAAGGGAGTGAGAAACATCTCACTCAGTTTTAAGTGCAGAAATAAAGGTTAAATAGCTCACACACATACAACAAATATAAGTCACATGTAAATAATACACATAAATAATTAATATCACATATATACTCATTTATCATGCTATGATGTCATGGACTCGACTCATAAATGCATGCATGTGGCGCCATAAGGAAGTTTCACATATCATCACTGGTGACCCTAAGGTACACCTTGTTAGCATGTTACATCGTGGGTGACCCTAAGGTACACCTTGTTAGTCGTGGGTGACCCTAAGGTACACCTTGTTAGTCGTGGGTATGCGGCCTCAGCGGCACACCTGGAGTAATATATGCATATGATGCATGTCATACATTCATAATCTCATTGACTCAACATTTAACTGATTACATAATTTTATTTAGTACATCATGTCATTATTTTTCATATTCTCATAATCATAACTTGTCTCAATAGTCCATTCTTAGGTCTCATGTCATTTGTCCATATTTCACATAGTCATGTCATAAATACTCCTCATAAGGTCCGCACAGGAATTCACAGAGAACATTCTTTTTCATATTAAAACTTATTTATTTTTAGCATTAATTCCATATTCATTTATTACTTTCAAGAAACAAAGTAACAAGAAACAAAGTAACAAGAAACAAAGTAACAAGGAACAAAGTAACAAGAAACAAAGTAACAAGAAACAAAGTAACAAGGAACGAAGTAACAAGGAACAAAGTAACAAGGAACAAAGTAGAGCAAATAGAAAAACAGAACAACAGGCAAGGGATTGGGGACCAATCTGACAATCAAACTATCCAACAATTATTCCCACACCCCCGAGCGAGGTTTCTCACTGCCCCCCTTACCTGGATAAGCGGAGTTGAAACTTGGGCAGGGCCTCCTCCTCTGGGTCCTCTCTCTCCTTTCCTCTCTCTCTTTCTTTCTCTCTCTAAGATTTCGCTTTCTTATTCTATATAAAATTTTCACCCCCTGCCCCTATTTATAGGCTTCCTGGCGCCCCCGGAACGGCCCGTACTGATTTCGGAACGGCCCGTTCCGGAACCTTCAAACATGGGCAAATTTCTCAACTGGAACGACCCGTTTCCAAAAAGCAGAACGGCCCGTTCTGAAATTAGAACTGCCCGTTCTGAAATTAGAACTGTCCGTTCTGGAGTACATTTTTGCACAGATTGACCATACTTAGAACGGCCCGTTTCCAACTTAATTTCCTAGACATTTTTAGAATTCCGGAACCGCCGTTTCCCTTTGGGAACAGCCCGTTCTGGAGAAACCCAAATGGACCATTTTACAGATTTGGAACGGCCCGTTCTGACACTTTAAAAACAGTTTGTCTCCATTGTTTGGAACGGGCCGTTCCACTTTTTGGAACAGCCCGTTCTGGGCCTAAAAAAAACAGAATTTATGTAAAAAAATTAATTTTTCATACATATAAAAATAATAATAATTAATATTATATCAACAGAAAATTCAGGGTGTTACAGATGATATCTACATGGACCATATCAAGCAAATCAGTTCATCTTCTTTATTCCTAAAATTCTCCCAAGTGCAGCCTTTGGTAGATTCCATTATGAATGATGCTGGTCTGAAACCAAAAGGTAATAAAAGGGGTAATTAGAGTGATGAAGATCGAGATTTGTCACAACATCCATCATGTCATCAGTAGAGGGACTAAGGTAATAATGACCTTCACGTGCTTGCAATGGGTTTTCAAAAACCTTAGGAGCTGTTGGAGTCTCATGGTCACTAGAAAAACTGGAATTAGATTTAGACAAGGATTATGCCCTGTTAGAATCGTCCTTATATTCGTAGAAGGTCTTGAAATTATTTTCAATGAACATAAAAGATTGAGTTTGTTTTTTAAGCGAAAGGAGAAGATGATTAGGAAAATGCATTCAAGGTTGTAGATTAGTAAATAAGGGTGAATCAAATAGCCACTATAAGGGTGCACAACATAAGAGTTTCGTAATGACCAAATGTCACTAATGACCAACCAACTACAATGATGATCATAACGAGTGTATCTTAAACATTTGATATCAACCAATTAACTTTGAGATATAAGGTAGCATTTTTTGTTGCTAGAAAATTGTTAGGTTGATGATGTTTAGCCAAAAGGATAACATTTGAAATTTTGGTCGAAAATTTTGGATGAAAATCTTGGTTTCTGATTCTGACAAAAAAAAATCATTGAGATAAGATTAGTTGGAAATATATTTCAAATTAAAAAAATTTATGTGATCCAAAAAGTCAAGGATCACATTCCAAAATGATTGAGAAGCATAATGGAGAGAGGATCCCAGAAAATTGAAGGATATCTCTAAAAAATAGGAAATAGGAATCGGAGGAGCACAATAAATGTTAAATTAGGCAAAATCGGATCAAATTAGCTAAATAGTGAGAGGTTGCTTTGAATAATGGCTGAAAATATGGAAACACGACAACAACTTGACCGATTTATTAGTATATTATAAATTCATGTATTCAAAATTTGAAAGATACAATCAATCAGGTTGTGTTTATATAAACGTTCATCTAAACATGAACGTACGTTTGTCTAAAAGATACCTTACACTTACTTCTCTGTTATATGCTTTGAAAATCGGGATTGTCGGTTTGAAGCTTCTCAAACGGAAATCCAAACATACACTCATAAATATTATCTTTTCCAAATCAGTTTCCAATCATTTAGCCTTCCAAATTTATTATTTTATTTTAACTCTTGTAACTGCTTTTTGCTTTTATCTTTTGTTACTGCTTTTTGTTAATTTCAGATACCAATTAACAACTCTCTTACAATAGTCAAATCGCTTAAAGTAAAACTCAAATTTTGTAATAATGTTGGAGCTAGCTTAGCTGAAGTCTATTCGACTGGTCTCAATCTAACCATGCGATAAAAATGTCAACAAATGTTATGAAAACAAGTTAATAGATCAAGTTAATAAAAATAAATAGAACACAACTACTTAGAAATATCGAAGAAAAGACCAAGATATAAAAATAAACCAAAAAACTATTTTCCTAAATCCCACTGAAATTTTCCCAATGACTAGCCAACTGAAGCAAGGTCTGTGCAGAAGAACCATCCTTCAATGCATTAGTAGCAAAATCTTTTAAATTTCTCATTCTTTCACACATTCCTTTACCTTCTTCCCCTTCCATCAGACACTTTACCACCTTTGCGATTTCTTCCTTCTCCACTATGCCTTCATCATTCAATTTTGGCCTTAATGCAACTTTAAATCCATCGGTTAACAACACTGCAATCATCTTCTGCTCTGCATAGAGTGGCCATGCTATTAAAGGCACTCCCTCTTGAACACTCTCCAAGATCGAGTTCCAACCACAATGGGTAAGGAATCCACCAACTGAATTGTGACTAAGGACCTGAACCTGAGGTGCCCATAAAGGCACAACCAAACCTTTCTCCTTTGTCCTTTCCAAAAACCCGCTTGGTAAGAATTGCAAAGGGTCCTCCTTTGCAGCTTCAAGGTAAGCAGAAGAAGCTGAATTACTAGGTGCTCTCAAAACCCATAAGAACCTTTGACAACTCAATTCCAAACCACAAGCTAACTCGTTGATTTGTTGTTGAGAAAGTGTTCCACCACTTCCAAATGAAACATACAACACCGAACAAGGTGGTTGCTTGTCCAACCATCTCAAACACTTATCTGACTCATCAGCCTCATTGCTTGACCCTTTCTGTGTAATGGGTCCCACTGGGTATAATTTGTTCTTCCCATCTCCATACTCTCCCAACGCTCTTATAGCATCTGGTTCCATTTCTAAGAAGGTGTTGATAATAATCCCATCAGCTGCAACCATTGCCTTGGCAGTTTGAAGAAGCTGCTTGTAATCTTCACTAGATCGACTTTGGAGTGGAACCGGAAGATCAATCCCCAAGACTGGTACACAACCTGGTAACTTTATAGGTTCTATAAGGTTTGTGTACTCACCTGAAACTTCCTTATCCAATTTTGGAGCGTGGAAAAGCAATGACAATACCAAAGCTGAAGAAGGGAAGTAAAAGTAGGACAGGGCATTGAACTCCTTTGCAAACTCCAAGGCTTGACACGCAAAAGCATCTACCACCAAGGCAGCTAAAGGGTCTTTGGAGAATCGGGATTTGAGGATCTCATGTATTGATGGCAGAGAATAAGTAATAGTGAGTTGAATTAGGATTCCAGGTTGGGGCAATTGTTCTTTGTTAATGGGAGGAAGTAAGATGGTGTGTATGTTTGAAGGAAGAGTTTTAAGGTAGGCTTTGGAAGATTCTGGGAGTGGTCCAAGCGAGGGAATGATGCAAGTCACATGAAAATTTGGGTGATGCTTCACAAGTCGCTTGCTAAACTCAGTTATTGGGACCAAGTGGGTGAAACCAGGACTTGAAACAAGAGCTACGTGAGTTGGTTTCTCCATAGATGCTGACTAAAGAGTATAGACTATAGTTTTTTGCTTGTTCACAAAATCGTTATGAGGAAAGAATTCTCTTATAAATATAATATAGAAGATCATTCTCTTTTTGTTCTCCAATATACACATAATATAACAAGAATTTACATGTAGCAGATCTTAGATTCGCTTTCTTTATTTTAATGTTATATACACAGTGTAAGACATGATGATGTCAGCGCATACGAACTAAACTGCGTACGTGGTTTCCACTGGACCTCATTATAACTCGTCTTTAATTTTAATCGTTCGTTGTTGCTTTCAAACGGAAACGTTGCTTTCATTCTCCCTCTATCATTGGAAGGCCCGAAGACTTTTAGCAGCTTCATTTTCTAAAATCTTTTTGCGTTAATTTTCAATTCAATCTCTTTAATTCTTATTGTTTTCATTTTGGGTATTGTTCTTGTCTTTTAGTTTTTCAACTTTCACTAATCTAAATAAATGGAAAATAATTGTAACTTCGAAACATACGTTGGAAATTCAATGGTTAGAATATCATTTCGTTTCACATTTGGAATAGTTATATATAATCTTTATTAATGTAATAAGTTTAATTAATTCGATCAATTTTTTTTCTTCTTTTTATCTAATCTAATTTGTTGTTAGTTTATTACTTAACAAATTATATACAACCTCCTCTTTTGTATAAGATTTCAATACTAATTAATTTATTAAGATTAAAAAACTAGTAATTTATAACCTGTATAATTTTTTTTAAAAAAAAAAACAAACTAATTTCTTTCGATTTTACATTTTTTTTAAAACTATCCTTATATTATTTTTCTCTCCTAATTAATATTATTTTCTCTCCTCACTAATTAAGAGTATTTTAGTGTAAAAATAATGGTTAAATTAATTTCTACGATCCTATAGTTTTGTCAATTTTTTAATTAGGTCCATATAGCTAAAAGAATACTAGAAAGATCATTATAGATTAAAAATCTTGTAGTTAAATCATTCACTTTCTAAAAGCATCTTCAATGGAGAGTGTTTGTAGTTTATCTTACTAATAAGTAATACTGTTTATTAACAACTCTCATTGGAGTGTGATAACATGACATAAAAAATTGTTTAAAAATAAGCAACTACTCTTAAATAAATAAAGTTACTTATGAATTAAGGAAATAATTTTTTTAGTTTTGATTCTTTAAACAAACATGCATCATCAATTCTTCATTACCCACAAATTAAAACCTAATCACCAATCATCATTATATATTTCTCATGGTTATATAATTTTTTCCTTTTAATATTTAATATTTTTTATACATATTAAATTAATTATGTAAATTTTATTATTAATTTTTTTATATATTAATGTAGCAACCTCGGTCGCGACGGGACGGCGAAAAATAAATTGAAAAAGAGGAGTCGCCACCAATGTTATTTTTTACGGAAAAACATTAAAAAAAACCATAAAGTAAAAAATAGTCTACGAAAATCAAATTTTTGAGTTCGGGAGTCGATTACGTGTGAGGAAAGTATTAGCATCTCACAACGTTCGTCCTAAGACGATTACCTTTAATTAATTAAACTAATTATTTATAATTTATAAAATATTTATCTCACTAAAATTATCAAATATATTTTATTTAACTAATTTAAATTATGCATTGAAAAAAAGGTTAAAATTATTATTGTTATATAAAAAGGAAAATAATATATTTTTTTATTTTTTGGCTCGACAAGATTTAGTTCTTGCTCCTACGTATCTTCATGTGTAATGAAGAATCAGAGTCACGTAGTTCTTTGTAGAAAATGTTTGTGTGTTGATATTTTTTATTTAAATTTATTTTTGTTAAATATAGGATTCTTGAACTGTTTCAGCTCATTCACCCTAAAAATATAAAATTGACTAAGGTGTACACCAAAGTCAATTCAATAAATTTTTAATTATAATTATTGCTAGAGATGTTATGATCTTAAAAATTTCTTGGTTTGACATTTTCGTTTTTTGGAGAAAAGAATTTAAAGATAAATTGTCACAACTTGTACTTTAAATTCAAAGGTTAAAAAGATGTCACATCTAGTTAACCATTCCTCCAATAAAATTTTGATACGATAATTCAAATATTTATATTGAATATTCTAACACTTATATTTTGATACTTAACTAATTTTTGAATTTAAATAAGGACATTAAGATGACAAATCGTCACGACTTACACCTTTAAGCTCTAGAATCAAGAGAATATTACATTCAAATAATCTTTTTTAATACGATAGATATTATTAATATTATTTATTACTGTAGGATCTGTGAACTGTCACAATTCACATGTCCTGCAGGATGGAACCAACTAAGGTGTACTCCTTAGCTAATTCTTTTTATAAAATGGTTTGATATGTTTTAAAGTTCTAGAGAGATGTTTTAGAACTATCAAATTATCACAATTTGTACTTCCAAGTTTCTAGGATTAAATAAATGTTTCATCTAATTAATTCACTCCCTTTAAAACAAAATGTTAGAAAAGTCCTCTCCTTTTTATTGTGAATAAAAATATTGTTTTCATGACTTAATCTGGCTTAACAATTGTGAAATATTTCATTTTTAGGAGAAAGCTTAGAACTACAAAACTGTCACAACTTGTGTCCTGAGACTTCGAGATTAAGAAGACGTCACGTCCAATTAATTTCTTAATAAGATAAATTTAAGCTATGATTAAGCGTATTGTAAGAAGGTAATTTAAAAATGATCAAATAAACATCCAATAAGAAAATATGGATTACCTAAAACTTAAACTATAGTGTTATTTATCTTTCTTGCTTTATTTATTTTTAATGTTGCCTCTGTAGTTTAGTGCATATTTTATTTCTTATTTATGACATTAAGTACGAATAGGCTTTAGACATAATTCTTACAACATAAACTAATCTAAGCCTACACAACAGTAAAGGTAATATATCTGACGAGTAGCTTAAAAATAAAACATGTTTAAAGCAACGAATAATTAAATAAATGGATGAACATAGATGGGAGTTGCGTGCAACAGTGACAATGGGAAAACCATTCAGGCATGATTTCTTTGCTTTTCATTTTATGTATAAATCTTTAGAAACTAGAAAGTGACTTTTAAAACAAAACATGCGTGATTATTTGCTTTCATTGTATATGTGTATTTTCAAAAAGTGGCCCAACGGGAATGTATGAATGACATGAAGTGACCAATGCTTTGACGTGGTGACTTCTTGCGGAGATTCCGTATGCAAGCTAATAATAACCAGGCACAGTGAATAGGTTGAAAAATGATTTACCTTACCGCTTCTTCTTTCTTTCACGGATTCTTTCTTCCTCCTTATGCTTCCAAACCTCTCCTCCTTCCTCTACCGCTTCCTTCTTCTCTTCTCCGCCTTTTTCAAAAGGAAAAGACCCCCTTTCCACTGAACCTCGACCCCTATATATCGTTCCTTCTCCTCATCCATGAATTCCTTCTTTTCTCTTCCGCTTATGCGAAGGATTTCTTTTTTCAATCAAAAAGGAAAAACCGCAGGGATAGCATAAACAGCCTTTGAGGAGAACAGGCCTACACTATCTTGTATGAGAATAGGAAGGACGTAGTAGTGCAAGAGAAAGTTTATATTATTTTAAACTCAAAATGGTCCTCATTCTTTTACTCGGTTTTGTTTTCTGACTCCATTATACACTATTTGATTTTTTATTTTTTTCTATTTTTGTTATTTTATTCATTCTTGTACATACTTTTTTTGTTATTTTTTTAAACAAAATTGACATTTTTCCGGACGAAATTGGATTACTACAATTAAAATATTATATATTATATTTAATTAAATTAATATTTAATTATAATAATTACATTAATTTTTTAGGTTGGCATAAGTAAAGTGTAAATAGAAAATTATAAAAGTTTGGGTTGCTTATAAGATTCCATCATTGGAGTGAAATTTGTAAAATTATAATGAGTTGCTTAAGAATGATGTGACATAGTGGATCTCATTTAAAGTATAATAAGAACCATCATTAGAGATGTTTTAATGTTGTTATAAAATCTATAACTAATTGAATATTATAACAAGACAATTACATTTTAATATTGTAATTTATTATCTTTACTAGTATTTTAGTCTATTCAATGCACAAACTAAATATTTATTTTATAAAAGATATATAAGAGGAATGACTGACGACTCTCCTAGGGTTTCTCCAACGGAGTCATCTGAGGAAAAAGATCTCTTACTGCATAGTACCCAAAAAAAGTTAATAAGTTTTCTGTTTGATGAGATGTTATGTTCATTAGATGTAATTTGCTGAGTAGATTCCAAATATGTAATTTAGTGGATAATCAGATGTTTTTAAAGTAATTAATTGAGTGCTCTATAGAAAAGGGGTTAGAATCCTAGAAGGATTGGCCCCAATCCCATAATTTTTCTGTTTGATGAATTGTTATGTGCGTTTTACGTGAATTATCAAGTAGATTCTAAATATGTAATTTATTTGATGATCAAATGTTTTTAGAATAATTAATTGAGTGCTTTGTAGAAAGGGTTTATAACCCTAAGGGGAGAAATTTGTTGAATTTAACAAGTGAAAGTTGTAAATGGAAATTGGTCAATTTCTAGATGTAAAACGAGTTCTTGGAGATTTTATTGTATGATTGATTGTTGAAATGTTTATTTCAACATCTAGCAATTTTGATGTAGGTGATTAGGTGTTGGATCGCATGCAAGGCCAGGCTTGAGTGCTCAAAGTTGGGCATGCCTTCATGTGTATAAAGGCCTTGCCCAAATGTCCTAGCGCCAGACGTGAAAATGTTGACCCTGAGTGCAAGACAAATCTGGTGTTCTCTGCCTCGGCTTAAAGTCGGGCTTGTTATTTTTAAGTAGGGCGTAATTGTCGGAACCCAAAAAATTCTGAACTTGTCTACAGACGGTTTGGACTTCCATTTTGAAAATCTCATTGATTAAGGGATGCCCAGACACCAGACTAATCCCTAATCAATAGTTTTAGAAAAGAGTTCAAAGGAGTCGCCACTGATGTTTGACTCAAAACATCAGAAAAAGAGAAAAAAAAATAAAATTACCAAAAATGGCCCTTATAGCCAAAGTTGAGTTCGAAGTTCGATTACATGTAAGGAAGGTATTAGACACCCTATAATGCTATATATCGGT